GCTCGCTAGCTGCATCATAAAAAGAAAGCGTCGTGGGCTTCTATGCGTTGATAGCATGATCCTATGCAAATACGATCCAGTAGCTTTCGAGATTGACATATTGCTAACACCAAGTGTACTATGGATTGGTGGGCGAATCGTTCTGCATTCAATCTAGCGGGTTCATTAGGTGAGGTGGCAACAACAACAGTGTTATTGCATTTGTAGAGGGGACTGCGCTGGAGACATACATGTAATCCAGCAGTGCTGTGTTCGACCAGCACAGCACCATGGTCATCGGTTTCAATGTTGTCCAATGATGGCAAGTCATTTGACCGTAAGAAAGGATTCTAACGGTTTTGAACACAATCGCGTGTGATTATATCTTCATGGAGTACACCACCCAAAAGCCTAGATATTTTACGCTACTCTTGAAATCACTTTGCATCTTACGATTTACATGAGTACAATTTGTAGTCTTCCTGTACTGGAGGCTGAGCTGTTGAAACCAAACGAGAATAGACTAAGGAATTCGACTAGCGTAGTTAGTTTTCTTCATTCTCGGGGAACTCTTCACGATGTATTATACTTCGAAGTATATACCCTTAACACAGGCTGGAAAATAAAATATGCTATTACTTTTTGCTTCCATATTCCGTAATTTATATTGCAATACATGGCTGTTCAATAATATGGTCTTTTGACCAATTCTTACAATAAATAAATTAGTCCGACTATTGTTTATATTTACATTGTGTATGGTATAAAATATTGCGGAAGTCTTTCACACATTTTCCAAGGTATTGGAAGAAGGATGAAGCAAAAATAAGTTATTCCGTACCAAAAACAATAGTCATTGTATTGATATTACTTTTTCCTACCTCTGGCCCGCAATTTAAATGAGTTTTGATTGAATAGACGTGTGGTCACTACTGAAAAACGTTTGTCATCACTGCGAACATGGTGCTGACCTTGGTTTACAAACGCTCAATGTAGCAAACACGCTGCACAGATCTCTTACTCGTGTTTTGTCCGAGGTAGTATGTATCTTGCTGTAT